GACTTTTCCTCCTGAGTACACGTGGTGTGTGTCCACACCCTCAGAGCATTTATACACATACTTTTTTTCTTGCAATGCGCCAGAGATCTGCCACTTCAGAGCAGACTCAATTAATCAAGTCTGCTCTACACACGAGCTGAGGTGAACTGTGCTGCGCTCCATGCAATTGTATAAGTGGCAACATGCATGTCAGCACGCAGAAAACGGTGGTGGTGCACTTTTGAACTAAAGCACCTCTGAGGTGGTTTAGTTCAAAAGTATGCCACCGCCATTTTCTCAGCACTGATGCACATTTTGCTGCTTATACAACTGTAAGCGTTGCAGCGCCAGGCACTTTTCCAAGCTCCTGGTGCTACAGGACTTACATGTGTAATAATGCCCTCAGATTCTACCAGCCCTAATTTATTGCTTCCATCAAGCCACTTCCTAGGCTGCCCATTATCAGGTTACTCCCTATACCTTCATCTCATGACTCCTCTCCTAAATCCTGTGTGTTTTCTCCCCGTTTCTTTTCCACTGAGATCCAGCTTGGTATTTGGTGACTGGATGGCATCACTGATATTTCTTTTCCCAAGATCTCTCTCACTGCTGATTCTGTCAGCTTTCTCTCCTCACTGAGCCTTTTAAATTGGTTCCCTCTTCCCAGCAGGCCTAGCTCTATTCTGATGGTCTGGGGAAAAAAGAAAATCCAGGCTTCTGTGAGACCTGGATCTGAGCTTTTACTAACAAAGACTATTTTGCATTCAAAAGCTGGTCTAACATTATTCCAACTACATATTTGTTCCAATAAAAGAGATCACCTTAGGAAATCCTTGGTTAGGGACAGAAGTTACACATAAACTGGTTTAAGTGATCAAAACTATAACAGAAGATAAGTTCAGTGCACATAAACCATTTTCAAAATGGCAAAAACTGGTTTGAAATAAATATGGTTGAATGTAGTATCAGACATAATTGACTTGAGGTCTGTCCCAGGAGGACAGCCACCAGGAGATGTGGGATCTCCCCACCCAGCAGTGGGACAGGGAACAGGTCAGCCCACCATTACACAAAAAGCCCTGAAACCAGGGCAAACTTACCTCTTACAGGATGAGAGGAGGCGGATGCGCTGTGCCGGCACCAAACAGGTACGTAGTTTGTGAGCAGCTCAAGCCGGCATGGGCAGGTGACGTCATCCCTGGATGCTGCCCAGCCAGGATAAAAGCTGGCATCGAGGGACACGCCAGGGAGGCACCGCAGGAGGTGCACGCCAAGGGTGCTTCCCACATCGGGTGTTCCCAATACTGGCATGAAGCATGGGACCTGGACCCAGAGCTGGAGCATCAGAGGGGGTCCGCAGCAGGGAAGAGGACGTTGGATGATACTGAGGGATGACAAAGACCATAAAACACTGAGTCCGTGAGTGGGAAGGGGACAGGCCAGGACCCTACCCCAGATTATTGCTGAAATCCTTTTTTTGTGTGTGTGGTTATTTCTGTGTTTCTCCCTTTTCTAATGGGGATCAGCCCCAAGAGGCCCTGAGGCAAGGGCAGGGGCAGAGTCAGCACTCCAAAGGTAGGAGTGGCTGAAGGACCGTGGCCAATAACCAGACTTAGCCAGAGGTCCATCGGGAGGCCAGGAACAACTCAAGACACCCAGGAACACAGAGGGAAACACAAGCCATCATCTCCCTCCCCACAAGAGGGATGGGAAGAGATGACAGTGGAGGGTAAGCCTTGTGAATACCGAGGGCCATCCTAGAGGCTGGCGCATGGATGGGGTATAGGGGAGGCAGAGCCCCATGAATACCCACCGAAAGTTGCAGCCAGTCTGAGCGAGCCCACAGAAGGGGAGCCCACCACTGAAGAAATCACCAAAGTCATGGCAGGAGAGTCTCTGGGCTTTCCCCAGGGTGATTGTGGGCTCATTCAGAGGTCGCTGAGATCCATGCAGCAGCCAGCACCTGGCGCATGTGCCAGGGCATCGCACGAGCGTATTCTTGAGACCAGGTGGGCACAAGGTCAAAATGGTTTATGGAACCTGTGTCCTAGACCCTTTCCTGGTTTAAGTTAAATCAGTCCCCCAGCATCCCAGAATGCTCTGCAGCCCTGGGCTGGGCTGAGCTGTCTGTTCCAGCCAAGCAGGGTTGGTCTCACCTCTCTCCTCCCTAGCTGGAGCACTATCACTGCTCTGGCTGGCTGAGAAAGGTGTGAGGGTGGGAAACCCTGCTCTGGAGTGCAGCCGAGTCTGCCTCGTAGCAAGGCAGCAGCCCTTGCAGGCATCCCCAGCCCCCTACCCCCTAACTGCTCCAGTGGCAGCAGGGGAAACAGGGGTTTACTCCCTCTATTGCAGGGGGGTGGCACAGGCACTGATAGGCTCTGCTCATGCACCCAGGGATGTGCACCCAGCACCACAGAAGCCAGACCACAGTAGCCTGAGGGGAAGTGGGGGTTTAATCCCCCCATTGCAGGCAGCAATGGTGGGGGCACCAACATGGTGCCCTGGGCCATCCCTCTGAGGAATGCCCAGATGGCCATGGGGAGGGGGCAAGGAGGGGGGAAGTGACCTGGCTGGGTGGGGAGGGGAGGGAGCTGGGGCTAGTTATGGAGTCCGACTCAACCCTGTCTCCCACTGTGGCAGCACAGCCCAGGCTGGGGCAGCCCCAGCTGGCAGCGGTCAGTCCCCACTGCCTCCCACCTCTAGCCCCACATGGGAGGCCATGGTTTGCAGGCAGGTTGCTGCTACAGCGAGGTTCCCCACCCTCATGCCTCTCTCAGTGCTAGTGGCAGAGCGAATTATTGAGGCGGGTAGAGGTGAAACACCCATCACTCACTGCCTGCTCACAGTGGTGCCAGGCACTCAGGGTGGGCTGCTGCAGGCCAGGGGCATAGGCCTCGGCAGAGGGAGGCAATGGATCGCTGCAGCTCAGTCTGGCCCGGCCCCACAACCCAAGGGCATAGGCAGCAACTGGTATGTGCCCTGCATTTCTGGAGTCAAACATGAATGTCTATTTACTTGCAAATTGGTCAATCTAGATTTAGACTGAATCTTAGACTAACCTGCAAAGATTGAATCAATTCAGGCTGTGGCTTTTTGAATGTGTGTCTCTAGCCCTTGTGTCTAGCATACTTTCTGGACCATCATGGCTACAATATCACCTGTACACTAGAGATTATGATAGCAAGATAGGAAATACATTTTAAAAATCACATCCAAAGAAGGATAAATATTTGAAATACTGAAAAATGTAGTGAACTGAAACATTTTTTTTTAAACTGGATCTAGTCAAGTGAAACATTTAACTTGGATCATTTAGAAAAATTTCATTTCAACCATTTTTTATTGTTTTTAACCATTTTTTGACTTTTTTATTTTTTCCTTTTTAAAATACATTTTAGCTTATGTTTCAAAACCAATGTCTTTTGAACTGAAAAACTGAGTTTTGCATTCTAAAAATACATAAAAAGAGAAATATACATAATTTCAGAACTTTAAAAAAATGTAACAAAGCAGGAAATTAATCAATACTGCCAGTTTTCGACAAAATGCTGTAGTTTCAACAAATCACGATGAGTCAGTGAAAAGATATTTTGCCTAAAAATTCCAAGCCATCTCTAACTTCCATCATCCCAGGAAGGAAGGAAGGGGTGAAGAAAGAGAACCCTAGGACATGCAACATGCATCCTGGGTTTCTATGGTGATTTAGAATACATGGAATATACATTCTGGGCTTTTCTTCTATCACTGAGAATTTATAGCCCCAAAGGAAGGATTCTTAATCTGATGAGCTATATCAAGACTTTTCTCTGAAAACAGTATGAGTAGGAAGTTGACCACTGCATAGCAGATATTTACCCCTGGGTCATGTCAGACCCTTCCCACAAGTAAGAGTATGATTAGGAAAAATACATTTTTACTTTTATTTTCAGTATTTCCAGGGTTCAAACTTAAAATTTTTCTTTAGGACATTACAGAGCGTAGGGCAGTAAAAGAAAGTCAATCCTGATGTGGGTAGAGTAGATAAATTAATCCTGACACGGCATTGCCTCAGATTTGCTCTTTGTCTTGATGAAGTGTCTAATCAAGGATCCTGGTTTTCTCTGATTTAAAAAAAAAAAATCCCCAATTTTTGGTTAAAAAAGAGTAACCCCAAATCCACATTTTTTCCATGATTAAAATGAAACACCACGTGTGTGTGTGTGTGTGTGTGTGGTGTTTCATTTTAATCACAGGAAAATGTGGATTTGGGGTTAGTTTTTTTTAACTGAAAATAGGGGATTTTTTAAAATCAGAGAAAACCAGGATCCCTGCTAATCATCATGAGGGGTGTTAGCAGAAGAAAGAATACTGCCATAGAAATAGCAATATCCCTAAGGCAGAGAGTTTCATTGGGATTTCTATACCAAGTTCTTTACATAAGTGTGCCAGCTACTTTGCAGGAAAAAAAAAACATTGAGAAAAGTGTACATAACACCCCACAAAGTGGGGAAAGCTTTACTGATGGACGAAAAGTATGAGGCAGACTACTCAGCAGATACCACAGCTCTAGACCACAAGTCAATAAGTGCCTTTCTAGTGACTTAAATGAATTTTGGATGAAGTCCTAAAATTCCATCTGCACTGGGGTTATTCTCAGAGTAGGATTAGCCAATTTAGTGGCAAAAAGTCTCTTCCTTGCTGCAGCTGTGGGGAATTATAGGTTCGATATACCTAGCAGAATGAAGGCCTTATGGTAGAAACTATGACCACTGAACTGAACAATGAAACTATAAAATGATAAAAACACTCCTGTGAATTACAAAACCTTCAGACTGTTGGGCAAGCCAAACGTTATTAAAGTAGGCCCTCTTTAAAAAAAAAAAAGAAGCAAATACAAATGGACATTGAATTGGATAGAGATGGCAATACTTTGTTCTGCCTGAAATCAAGACTCTTGTATACATGGGGCCCACACGGTTGCTCTTCCAACAATAAATTCAGTTTTTCACTCTAGATTGCATTCACAAGTTGCAAATTAATGGCACAAAGAAGCAGTGATAATTAAGGAGCAGTAAGATGTATGTAATGGCTTCCAGCACAATCCATTTTTATCTGATTATTAATCCTCCTGATGATTCCTTTTCAGGAAGTAAGGGCTGTACAATGGCAGAGGACCACAACACAAAAGACACCTTGAAACCCCTGGTGTTCCGTCTCCACGAGAGCGTTCCTAAAGTGGTCCGTGAAGTCTTAATGGAACGTGGCTGGAGAGAATTTGATGAACAAGAGCAGGACAAATCAGACTGGAATCTATACTGGCGGAACACCCCTTTCCATGTGACAGACCACCGTAACATTAAACCCTGGCAGAGGCTCAATCACTATCCAGAAACAGTCAAGATCACAAGGAAAGACTATCTGGCAAGAAACCTTAAACGTATGAAAGGAATTTATGGATCAGCACTGTATGAATTTAGTCCAGTGGCATTCATTATGCCAAACGACTATGTCAAGTTTATAGCAGAATATAGCAAGGAGAGAGAATCCCAAGGCAGAAAGTCAAGCTACTGGATTTGCAAACCTGTGAATCTGTCTCGAGGAAGGGGGATACTCATTTTCCAGGACATTAAGGATCTCATATATGATTGTGTGGTCATTGTGCAGAAGTATATTAGTAACCCTTTGCTTATTTCTGGGTACAAATGGGATCTCCGCCTGTATGTTTGTGTCACTAGTTTTTGCCCCCTCACCATTTACACTTATGAAGAAGGACTGGTGAGGTTTGCCACAGAAAAGTTTGACCTCAGTTATCTAGACAATGTATACGCCCATCTGACAAACACCAGCATCAATAAGTTTGGGCCCGCGTATAAAAAAGATAAAGTAGGGATTGGCCGTGGTTGCAAATGGACATTCAGCAAATGCCGTTCTTACCTACGCAGCCGTGGCGTAGACGACCTACTTTTGTGGCAAAGAATCAACAACATTGTGACACTGACCCTTCTTGCTATCACCCCTTCTGTACCATTGACTCACAATTGCTTTGAGCTCTTTGGGTTTGATATTCTGATAGATGACAAATTCAAACCATGGCTTTTAGAAGTGAACTGCAGCCCAGCCTTACATTTAGACTGCTCCATTGATGCAACAGTGAAAAAAGGACTTCTCCATGATGTCATTGAATTACTAAACTACAAACAAATTGACACCCTGAGACAAAGTAAAGGAGCCAGGACTAAAGCATCCTGTGCTAGTAAGTCACAGGTCTCCTTGAGTATTCACAGTAAAAGTGCAACTGATTCTGCCCCACATTTCCTTGCTTCTAGGCAACCACAGACTGAATGCACTGTCGCTTCTCCTGTACAATCTCTCTTGGAAGTTGCAGGAAGATCATTTAGTGAAGAGGCCATAGTGACTAGGAAAGCAGCCAGAGTACATCCAAGGAAAACGCTGACCTCACAGCTCCGGGAGAGGATGAACACGCCAAAAATATCTTTCCCCTCCAGAGCTGCATCTAATAGCAAACCAGTACTAGGAACTTTACATCATGTGCCTGTGCCTGTGCCTGGCCAATCCACCCAATGGCTGCCCATTGAGTTATATAAAAACAAATTAAGCATCCCTCCTTATTTTCTCACAGATCAAGACAAGAAGCCCTTTCCTCGAATAGGTGATTTTGTCCTTATATTCCCTTTCAATGATGCTGCACTTCAAGCTTCCAGAAATGGAATAGATGTAAAAGGCATCATACAAGAAATACACAAATTAATGACTGAACAGTTGTCCCGGGGAATACAAAAAGTAAAGGAGAGAAAAGATTATTTAACTATTAAAAAATGTCTATAAGCTACAACACAATGAAAGAGTCAGATTATAAACAGTACCAAGGGGTACTGAGATACTAACCTGGTTGTTTAGTTTTAAAAGGACAGGTATGCTCTATACTCATCTCATAAATATGGATATCACAAGACTTTAAACTGTAACTAGTACTATTGCTTATTTAACAATACCCCTAATAAATTATTTTTAAATAAAAGAATTCCTAAATACTTTTAAAAGGTATTCTGACATGAAAATAACACAAAGAGGAAAATATAAAGTTGCATTAATTTTCTTTTAAACGTCAGTCCTTGTCTCTGTTTAATATTTGTTTATGAATTTCTCCCCTGTAATTCAGGGTCCTTTGTTTATGCTGTTTTTCTCCCCTGGAAGGCTTTATAACTTTAAAAAGCTCATCAGTTTACACGCTGAAGCATAGAGTTTAATATCCATGCCTCTTCATTTACAAAGCTGCCAGTATTATAAGGGTGTTGGTTTTTTTTAATAATCCAAGTCTGGCTCTGCTCAACTGAGCTTTCATAGAATCATAGAAAAGTAGGGCTGAAAGAGTCCTCCAGAGATCAGAGCCTAACCCCCTGCTATACAAACCATCCTGGAGAAAGCCTTGTCTAACCTGTTACTAAAACTACACAACCACAAGGCATAGCATCCTAACCTGCCACAGGTAAAGTAGGAAGACAAGTGGTCAGTACCCTGCTGCTACCAGGGATGTTAAAATACTCTGGAGAGATCTGAAGATGCTTCCTCAGCTTGACGAAGGGTGCTTGTGCCCGAAAGCTTGCTAAGAAGAATTTTTCCAACTATTTGAGTTGCTCTAATAAAAGATACCGGATTTACCCAAAGAACTTGTCTGCCCTCAAGAGATCTGGCATTCAGTACATGCTGTGTGAAAGAAATATAATTCCAGTAGAACTATGTTCGTTTCCTTGAAACAGATATCTTCAAAAATTCTTATGAAATCTAATTACAAAAAAATCCTCTATGCCAGTGGTTCTCAACCTTTTTAGATTTAAGGCACCCCTTGCTACGCTCAAGGCACAGAAAATATCAGCTCCTAGCTTTCTTATGTTTCTTGCCTATGGAAAAATAACACAGCAATACTTCTGTTGCAAAGAACTCGGAAAGACCACAACAGGTCAAAATGTTTTTGTCACTATGGACTCCTATTTGAGATCTCTGGGTTTATCTTTTGAATCAAGTTTACAAAACCAAGTGCTAATACTGTGCAGCACCTTATAGAATCTTTAAAAGGATCTTATGGCACCCAAGGGTGCCACATACCTGGTTGAGAATTGCTACTTTATGCTGTTCCTAACTGCTTTGCAGACTTTACAAACTCTAAACAAAAGAATCCCCACAACAGGCTTTGTGAAAAAAATATTTTCATTAGGTTTCTCAAAGCAACAGAGGACTTCAATACTGAAGCTGAGCTGTAAGCTGCCAACACCCTACTCAGACCACTAGATCAAACCTCTCTCTTGCACACAGTCCACTGAATGCCTTCTGGAAATGTATTGTTGTTAAACGGTCACTTCGTAGTGTTATGCCATCAATGCGCTAGCTTACACCTGACTGATGGTATAAAACTTCCTCAGTAAAACTAAGTGGAAAAAATGCTACCACTAAATCAAAACTCTCCACTAATTCAAACCAGAATCATCCCACAGTGCATCTCTACTGCCACCAACTGGCTGTATGGCGGTAACAGTACCTGTATTAACCCACCGTACAGCCTCACATTTGTTCCAAAAGGGAAGACAAATTCCAGCTGCTTTGCGGTTAATCTAACGATAATCTAATTGATAATCTGCAGACAGCAGAGTCATGAGGTTTTCCAACTGTATTTTAATTTCCTTGCAAGATTCTCAAAGTGGTCATCCCGAGTACCTTTCACGATTGGAATCACAGGGGGATGTTTTGGGGACAGCGGTGTCCATGTGTTAGACTGCTTCAGCAAAAGGGTACAATGTAGTCATAATCGTGATCACTATTCATTCTAAGAGCCAAGATAATCTGTGGCTGGGAGGGGCCATTGCCATTCAGAGTAGAAGAGCATGCTTCCCTGCTTTTGCAGTACAAAGCCTGAAAAGAGAGAGAAACATGAGGAGCAGTGTGCTTTTCTGTACAAAGAATGATTAAATGAATACTAATATTTTACTGTAGTTTCATTTCCCTTGGAAGGGAACTGACTATCGCAAGTCAAAGTAGCTCCTCTTAATTTTTGTCAGCATCTACCCCCTTCTGTTTGAGAGCAAGCTGGACTTCAGTTACATAGTTTGATGGTTCCTTTGCTTTTGCACTTTTAAATGTTGTCTGATAATAGTAAATTACTATGTAAGCAATGGTAGTTGTACAGGATAACGCAATGACTATTAAAAGCTTATAACTAATCTCTCCCCATATGGTATCGGTATTCTTTGAGTTATACTGCGGGGCAATTGCAAAGGGTTCTGTCACTGTATCTGGTCAGCATGATGTTAGGATCCTGGGGGGAATGTAAGGTGGACTGGGCTGTAGGAGAGAGAGAGAGAGAGAGAGAGAGAGAGAATGAGTATGAGTGTGTGTGTTTGTGTGTACATGTGTGTGGGCATGCACGCGTGCAGCAGCAAGTTATGATGGCAGAGCAGTTAAAGGACCTTGCTGCATCTCCAGAGGTCTGAATTTGAGGCTTGCTCTAGATTTTTGCTGAAGGTTGCTCCTAGTCAACCCAGTTCTAAATAGGTATCTGTATATGCTACCAGCCACATTGTTCCTTCATGTGCTCTCAGATGCAGAAACCAGTGTGAGCCCCCACTGCCAGGCTATTCAAGAACAGATGCCTTGCTCTCTGACTCTCAGCAGAAATCCCACCCTGGACCTGAGAAACCTCCCTTGAAATTTTTGCCCAAACTGGAACATTCCCATTAAAAGGCGAGACTCATATATTTTAGTTTGGATCAGGAGCTTACCACAGAAATCCATGACACTGGGTGTGTCTACATGATATGCTTTACTGCGCAATAGACTAATCTGTTGTGCAGGAAAGTAACACCCTGTACACATGTGCAGCATTTACTGTGCAGTGCATTAGTCTACTGTGGGGTTGCCTACTATCTGTAAATACAGATAAATTAACCATAAACTACTGCGCAGTAGCGCACATGTAGAGTGCTGACCAGGAGCAAGTTGCTCCCAGTCAGCCAAGACAGCAAGGGGCAGGAAAACGGTCCCTTACTCTGGGCTGCTGCTTCCCAGCCTGTGCTCTGATCTACCAATCAAGGCAGGGGGCTGGGAAGCAGCAGCTGTGGGAGGGCACATTTTCTCAGCCCCCTGCCCTGATCTACCAATTAGGACACAGGGCTGGGAAGCAGCAGCTGCAGGAGGGCACATTTTCATAGCCCCCATATCTAATCTGCAGATTGGGCATGGGGCTGGAAGGGAGCTGGCCTGGAGGCAGGACAGTTTCCCCTATCCTTGGAGACCAGGGCCTGACTTCAGTGTTCCCTACCAGCCCAGGGCTGGCACGCCTGGGAGCCTGAAAATCCCCCTGAATGGTGTAGAGGGCACAAAGCAGGGCTGGAGTAGCCCTGCACTGAAACTGCTCCCCTTGGGAGCAAATTTGCTCCTGACAGGAGCACATGTAAATGCCCTGCTGAGGAAAGCTTACTTCACAGTATTTTAGTGCGTTAATTGCACTTGTAGACATGCCCACTGTGACCTCCAGGGAGGATTACTGCCACATTCTCTGCACCTCCATGAACCCATCTCTCAGGGAAGTGGTGGTAGAAAAAGAATCCTACTACATAACCGGTAGGTGGGTTAACTCACTGATTCTTTGCTGTTTGCTCTTTCCTTATGTTTATTTCAGGGTCAGATTCAAGGTGTTCCTTTTGATCTATAAAATTCTTTACTACAACATTCAGACTCTTGTTATTTGCTAAGGCCCCTCTCTTCTCATGTAACACAGCGTAAATTGAATTTATTTCACAGACAGCATGCATTACCACCCTCGGCACATTTACAATAAGGACAAGCACAGCCAAATATAATGCATCTGGCAACTGGCATTAGTCAACACAAGCAACCCAACAAACCTTCTGAGAAAGCCTGTCTAAGCAGGCTGTAAAATAATGCCCTGCAAATCAAATGATTCTCCCTCTGTTCAAGAAACAGGGTCAGGAATTCCAGGGTAAAGATTTTTTGTTTGTTTGTTTCAAGTGCCAAATCAGTTCCAAAATCTCTTGGACAAAGCCCAATAGTCAAGTTCTAAGTTTTGACTGAGCAGAGCATAATCGTTCAAGTCTGTGTGGCTCTACTATTGGGCAAGTATCAGTCTGGGGCTTCAGATACTCCCCAAATCTGTGGCAGACATCCTATGTGCAAGCCTAGGGCTCAGGGACCCTGGGGTTCAGATGCTTCCTTATCTCACTTGCTGTTTAGCCAAAAGGCCAGGGAGCAAGCCAGAAGGAAAGCAAGAAAGCTGTCTTCTATTGCCACAAAATTGTGCAGTCGAGTTTCCTGCATTTGGGGAAGACTTGTAAAAGTCAGTGAGCCCAGAGTGCAAGGGACAGGCGTCACCCTAGGAAAACCACTTCTTAGCCCACAAGAGACCTGGCGATCATGGTATTTCCCCTCTACTCTCCACTGGGAATGCCTTGCCCTCACTGCTCTTACATACAAATCTAGGGATTTGTTAGCAAAACAATCCCAGCTAATTTCCCAGTCAGGGTATCACATGAAGAGGAAGGTAGTTGCTCAAGAGAAGGAGCTTTAAAGATGACGGCCAATGCCTCAAACTGCACTGGGAACTGAATATGGGAGAGCAGGTGATTCATTGGTAAGTGAACAGCACTGCTGCTAACAAAGCAAAATGCTGTATTTTGGGCTGGCTGAGCTTTCAAAGTGTTCCTCAAATGTACAATGGAAGTATACCACTTTGTAGCAGAGGTCAGTTTGGGTGTACAAAGCAACACTGGCAAAAGGAGGAGAGGTTTGCACCTTGTAGACTAACTAAATCTAAGATCTACATAGGCATAAAACTTTTGTGAGCTCAAGCTCACTTCATCCTCTGCTCAAAGCAACATTCCCTGACATAAATGCCAGTGGGCTAGAAGCAGGGCAGTTTTAGTGGAAAACGGTTAGCTCTGGAATTTGCTTCCTCTACCAGGGTGACATAGCATGACTCCAACTAACTTCTTAGGAATTTACCTAAGACAGGAAGAAGGATAGTTTGAACTTTCTATCATGTGTTTTGCAGGAATGAGAGAAATGTTCTCTCTCCAATTTTTGATAAATTGCATTAACTGTATGTTACCAGGTGCTATAGGTAGGGCTAAGATGGTCAGTATGGAGGCATTTTATTGATAAAACTATATCTGCAATAACACAGTTTTATGAAGAAAAGGTAGAGGCTCCATAGATAGAAAAGCTGTTTATTAGAGGGGTTGCAAAAACAATGCCCATCCATCTTGCTAATGCGCCTACATAAATCAGCAGTCTCTGTGCTCACACAAAGCTTGGTCTAGCCACACAGAAGCTAAGGGGAGTTTTGGCCACAAATTTCAATGGGAGCAGGAACAGGACCAGACTCATAGTTAAACACAGCCACAAGCCTACCTTGTGCAGGAGCAAGCAGGGTCCAAATCTTTCTGAAGATTATGAGTACAACTTCTTAAAGCCCCCTGGGAGGTAAGTGCGCCCGGCACTGCTTAGAAACCGGCACTTTTAAACAAGACATTTCCATTGTCAACTGTAGATTGTAATAATAAGTGGATCAAAAAGGTGGATTATTGGATAGTAAACCATGGTTTGAGGTAAAACCAACAAGTAAACCTACTTCATGATTCCAAAACATCCATAAAACAATTTGAAAACCTGCTTGTTCACTGAAGAGCAGTAAACTTTTCATAAAAGGGATTTCCTCGAGATTGATGCTTCTCTTTGACAGAACTAACCACTGTGGCTGTGTCCACATAAGCATGGATGTTTGGCTCTCCTGGGACAACTAGCAGCAGGACACATTGTGCCACCACTAGTTGTGCCCAGGGAATGCCTATGCCATGGCTCCTCTGGCTCATGGCAGGTTACCCTGGGTGGAGTAGGGGAGGCTGGGGCCAGCACTGTGCTGGTCCCAGCAGCCTTACTGGTGGTCCTGGGGGCCTCATGGGGCTGCAGCAGTGGCAATCCTGCCTTTCAGAGCCTGACCAGCAGCTGGAGTGTGGCTCTGGCTGGCCAGGCTCCAGTGCTGAACAGCACACGCTGACCCTGCGTGCACCACTCCGCCTTTTTTTGTGCAGGTTTTTTTGACCCCCTGTATATCTGGGGTCAAAAAAACCCTTGTGCTGCTTCTTTGCAACTTGGAAAACACCTGACTGTGTGGTATGTAGCACTGCAGATGTGTCTGTGGCGCCACGTATCGCATGGCTACACTCATCCAGACACAGCCCCTGTCTATTTTTCAAGTGAAATTGAACGAGGCTTTTTAGTGGTGGAATATTGCTGTAGGAGTTACATGAGACAAATCATTTTGCCATGTTTCAGATTTTCTTTAGCAACATGGAAATATCATTCTTTGACAAAGTACTTGAAATAGAATGGTCTCTTAAGGGATCTCTTTTTGTGGGGTTTCTTAATAAGAGATTACCTCTGTAGAGTACACAAATATAAGTAGATTACAACTGTAAAAAGCACACTTCTAAACATTTTGTTTTGTACATAGGGATAAAGGAGCAAAATACAACTATATCATCACACCCACATTACTTTAAAATGTATTAATCAATGAATGTTTTGAAAGAAGAGTAACTGAATTTATACACACACTGAAGCCTACGGTCAATATTAATAGGAAGCAACTTGTTGCACGCATTTTGTTCCATTCAGATTGCTGCATGCTCTGGAGAGTGACTGCAAATTTTTTAAGCTGAGCTGCCAGAAACAAAACAGAAGAACAAGCAATTTCATAGTTTTGCACTTATTTATTTTAAACTTGCATGTGAAGAAAAAATAGAGGAGGAAGTCTGTAGAAGCTTGAAGGGCATAAGGAGTTCATTGCCAGGGAGTAAGAGATGACCTGGGCCTCAGAGAATAAATGTTTCAATACTGTAGAAAAATCCAAGATGAGTGACAGACAGGATCCATGGGGAAAGCAGTTGCAGGTAGCATCTGATAAATGAGTAATCCCTGTGTTCCACTAAGATTCCCCTAGGTATATGGGGCTGTCTCCAGAGCCTTGCAGTTGGATGAAATTTGATGAGGACAAGTGCAAAATCCTCCACTTAGGACGCAACAAATCACATGCACAAATACAGAATGGGGAACTAATGGCTATTCTGTGGTACTGCAAAGAAAGAGCCTGGGGGTTACAGTGGACCAGAAGTGGAATATGAATCAACAGTGCATTCTTGTTGCAAAAAAAAAAGTCAACAGCATATTGGGTTGTATTACCAGGAGTGTCACTTGTAAATCAAGGGAAGTGATTCTTTTGCTTCATTAAGCTCTAGTGATGCCTCACCAAGCGTACTGTGTCTAGTATTAGGCCCCACACTTAAATGGACAAATTAGAAAGAGTCCAGGGAAGAGCAATAAAAATTATTAGAGGTCTGAGAAACATGACTTACAAGGAAACACTGAAAGAACTGGGATTATTTAGACTGGAGAATAGAAGATTGGGCACGTCTACACATGCACTTTAATACCTATTTTACTGCCTATTTAAAGGAGCACATAAAAAGTGCTACTATGCTAATGCACATTAAAATAGGCTACTGCGTATTAAGCATCACCTAAAAGCATGTTGTTCCACTACTGTGCATTAGCACAGCCTAATGTGAATTAATTTAGTGCCTCATATTGGAGGTATTAAATTTAATGCGCATTAAGAAAAGCACATTAATGTACATCTAGATGCACCCACTGAAGAGAGATTTGATACCAGTCTTCAAATACCTGAAGTGTTGTTATATGTAGGATGAAGATAGAATAATCTATGTGGCTGCAAGGACTTCAAACTGCATCAAGGGAAATTTAGGTTAGGTACTAGGAAGAACTTCCTTCCTCACTATGAGAGTGGTTAAACATTGGAACAGACTACCTAGAGAGGCTGTGGATTCTCCATTCCTGGACATTTTCAAGACCAGGTTAGACAAACACTTGACTGGGATGGTTTAGTCATGGACAATCCTATGGATCTATGACTCTGTGAAAATTTTAAATGTCACCTCTCTGGAGGGATGACACACCTAGCCTTCAAGCTATAAGCTGTTTGGGCAGGACACTTTCTATGTTTCCTGCTGTTCCACTGTACAGAAAATAATTCAAGATTCATTAGGCGAGAGAGAGAGAGAGAGAGAGAGAGAGAGAGAAAGAACATGAGCCTGTTGCCTAATGATTTAGAGAACTCATTCTAATTCCTGCTCCCAGGATGATTTCTGTATTTTACACTAAACAGCCATTGGATACAAAACAGACAGGCCTTGAGTGCCCTGGCCAGCAGAACTCATGCTGCATGATGAAACAGCTTCAACACAAGGGCAGCCCTACAGCATTGAGTAAAGTGCCTCCCTGCTCCAAGAGAGGCAGAATTTAAGACATTCCTCTGTCTTTAGTATTTCCCTACTCTTTAAGCATTAGACAGCTTCCCACAGAATATGCTGATTTTAAGTGTGTGCGCTGGTGGTTTGAATCCCAACCTGAGACTAAGTCTCCCTAATGACTGTATAGGGAGGCTATAGGGGTGTAGGTTGTAGCTGTGTTGGTCTAAGGACATAGGCAGACAAGGTTCTTTGGGTGAATCTGATATCTTTTGTTAGACCAACTTAAATAGTTGGAGAACAATTTTTAAGCAAGCTTTTGGGTTCAAAAACCCTTAAAAATTGTTCTCCAACTATTTAAGTTGGTCTAATAAAAGATATCAGATTCACCCAAAGGACCTTGTCTGCCTATAGGGAGGCTAGGCACTCCCTTCAGGGTTTTGGATTCCACTTCTGGGACCAGGCACCTGGAAACTAACATCTTATATTTATACTATTGCATTAATTCCAAAGAATCCTAAAGTGTCTTGCCCCTGTGGGGTGCACATAAAAGCACTGAGATGCAGCCACTCCAGTAATGGACAGGGTAAGCAACCAGCACACAAATACATTTTGGCCATGATCACCAGGCAAATGCTCTTATGAAAAGGATCATTGGTGTGTTAATATCTGTGTGGGATGGGCATGACTGCAGTTCATTCATGAGATGCTCACCCATTAGGCTTACCCATTAGGTTAAGCACCTAACATTCAGTGGGCGCATCTACATGTTCATTAATGCCCCTTACATACTGTGCATTTAGTTTAGTACTTCTTTAATGAAGTAGTAACTGAATGCACAGTAACTAGAGTTACTGCATAGTAGCACCAGCACATGGTTATTTAGTGACACTTACTGAGTATGAGCCTAATAACACTGCGTAATAGGATATTAGCACAGTTTTTGTCGTGACACACTACGGCACATTGTTATTACACTAATGTGCAGTAAGTGTCTTGTGTAGACACACCCACTGAGTATAAATAAAATTCAACCCGGCATGTTCATTTGGAAAAGCAGGAACTTAAATATTCCAAGGCCAGGTTCTAGTTATTTCAGGGAACAGAAAAATAGGTAAGGAGACAAAGAAAGAATCATGTAACAGGTGTGTGCTTCCAAGGGATAAAGATATCAAATCACAAGCAGAAACTAGCCTGGACAGACCACCTACATATAACCTGGCACATCAGGGAGATGAATCACTTCTTATCAAGGATGATATTGCCTTCTTCATCTCTGATTCGAACCCGTCCAGAGGAATACTTTGTTTCCTGTCGTCCATTGGAGTACACAGTCTTTCTGGTGCCATCAGGGTACTCCCTCCTCTTGAACTGTGCAGTATGAATCTCCTTCTGTCCATTACTGAATATCACCATTTTGTCTCCATTCCTAAAAACAACAAGAGGACCAGATACATCTCACAGTCTACAGTATAACCTAACATAGTTCTTGGCAGCAGAAAATACCCTGGGGAGAAACTGCAAGAACAGAAAGCTGCAGCGGTATCACCTTTGCTGATGGCCAGGACCTCCTCCAGAGTGATCAGCATTGGCCGGGACAGCATGGGGCAGTGGAGAAATGTGGTAAAAGATATAAAGGAGAAGTCAGAGTTGTGTGTCTGATTTCACTCCCATTGAATCCCTCATATAGCATACGAGTTTCAGTTGGTGCAAGGAGTTGTAACTGATATCTCCCTGTGCCACCAGGGATAACTCTAACCCATGTACTGCCTTCACCACTGCAGGAGATTCAGGGACAAGCACAGCTTGAGACTGTCTTTGTGTGAATAGAACTGATTTACAGCAGTGAGAATGGAACATAAAGTTGTACGGGAAAGCTTCCCTGTGACAATTTCATTTCATTTCAGACCATCAACCATCTAACTATGATGACATTTACAGGTGGATAATGGCCCTCAGCAGTTCTCACAATCAGATCTTCATCACACAGATTCTTCAGTTCATAAATGTAACTAAAATAACAATGAATAATGTAATCAGCATTTGCACAGCATTCTTCATCCAAGGACCTTAAGGCACTTTACAAACACCAATTGCCACAGTGCTCCTATGAGCTATGCATAGGACAGTACCATTTCTGTTATTGCACATTTCTCATGGCATGCCTGACAGCGCCTTGGATGTGATGTCAATCACTTACAGCTACACAAGGTGAGTGCACACAAAGTGCAAGTAAGGTGCTACAAGACCAAACTAGGACCCACTCAGTCCAGCTAGAAGAGACTACACAAGGTGCAAGGCAGTAGACAATAAACCCCCACACCTCATTTTGGTGGCCACATTCCTCTAATTATAATCCAAATCCTTCTTCTTTCCATCCTTTCAAAGGTTTCAAATAAATCTGTGCACACTTAGAACACAATTAACATTCCCTTGGTAAGATATCATTTTCTAAGAATCCATCTAAAGTTTTATGAATTCGCCCACTACTCAAATCTAACCATTACACATATGCTCTATGTCCAGTTCATGACACCTTGCATGAAACTTACTTTTCTACTTTTACTAAAGTACCATCTGCAAAAACTGTTTCCTCTAGCCCATCAGTACAGAGACGTTTCACTGTCTGATCAGGGAACACAATTTCTTTGGTGCCATCAGGATGATGTTTTTCTGTAGGAAAAAAAGTCTGCTTAGAAACTCCCCCATTGTTGGTTTCTTTGAAACTACATTATATTATTTTACTGAACATAACAGAGGGAAAGGTAGCACAGATGATGTACCACTAAACAAAAGAATAAATAACAATAATGATAAGCATGTAAATGGTACTTTTACCTCAGTAGATTTCAAAGCAAGTATCACTGGTTTGAAGTTTATTGATGGAGAATGAGAGGTACAAAGAGACTTAATGACTTGCCCATTATCACGTAACAACTCAAATGAAAGTATAGTCAAGCCCAGAGACACAACCCAGTCTGCCAGGGTCAGAATGAGTTCATTTTTATAACAAAACAATCCTGCAACAGTAGTTCAAGTTTACAAGCTGTTACATACCTATTTGATTATTAGGGAACTGCAGCACCTCCAAGCCAGTTGGATAAGTGGTGTGGGTTGTCTGCGCATCTGCATAGAAATAAATCTGCAAGCAGAGTGAAGGGCTTGTAGTCTGTTCACAATATTTTCATAGTAATATGATTATACTAAATGTACCTAAAAAAATCTCTCTTGGAAAAGTGATTTTGAGTGTTGAACAAGGGTCTTTGGGTGAATCTGATATCTTTTATTAGACCAACTTAAATTTAAGTTTAAATTTAGATTTAAGTCGGTCTAATAAAAGATATCAGATGCACCCAAAGAACCTTGTCTGCCTATGTCCTTAGACCAACACAGCTACAACCTACACCCCTTTGAGTGTTGAATTCATTTACCTATTGGGCCCTTAAAATGGTGGCTTTCCAGCCATGTAAGTGGCCTTTCTGGAATTTATACAGTTAACAACACTATTACCCTGAATTACCTGCACAAGGTGGACATATAAGCATTTGTGTGTATAGTGTGAATGCACAGTAAACTACGCACTGGCTGGGGAGCTACATGGTTACATACCCTAACATATGCGTCTAAGTCACAAAATTCTAGCCAGACAAACCTCCCTATGGCTGGCAGGTATTAAGCAGGTAGAAGAGGACTCTACCCATATTTAAGCTGAGTGATTATGATAGTCACACAGGAAGGTTCTAGGCCTTCTCATCCAAAGGAGATTTAACTCCTTCTGTCTGACTTCCCTGCATGGTGCTCTAACCACCACAGTACAGGTTAGGCATTATTCACTCCCTCCTTTGGAAGCTGGAAGAGAGGAGAGGCAGCGGGCAAATTAGTCTGGGTAGGTTCTGCATACATACACGTCCACTTAGGATTCACTCTGCCACTATGATATACATAGGCTAGACCGGCCTGTGTTCTGATCCAGTCTGGTACTACCTAACGTGCCCCCCTCCACTGCCAGGAGAGGGAGATATGTGTTTATAGGAATATAAGAGCCACCTGGAGGGTCTGTGGCCCAGTGGAACAGATGCTGCCCTGAAGGGAGCAGGTTCTAGACTGGAGTCTTACTTCCAACACAGCAGAAACTTCCTCATTGCTCTCTAACCAGTGACTATTAAATGCAAGATGTAGTAGCTCAGCTTCAAAAGGAGACATGCATAATACCTAACCTGCGGTGTGATGGTTCAAGCACTGTGCTCATACTTAGCAGCATAAAGAACAAGCATAATATAAAACAGACACATACAGCTGTTAAAATGATCTTCCTTGACCACTGGATCATTCCTATGGCTCATTAACACACTTTATTCGGACTAAAATATTCATCTTTATCTCAAAGTATTCCTCAAATCTATATCCCAGCTGACAATTCATTACTATGAGGTCATTATTGCATTACTATTATCATTATTACTGCAGCACCCAAAAGACAGAGCCCCATTGCTCTGGGCCCTGTACAAATATGTAAGGAGGAAACAATCCCTGTTCCAAAGAGTTACATCTCCCCCTACCTTGTCTCACATCTCCCCCTTCCATTTGTCCACCCAAGATGCTGGCAACAATGCTCTATTTCTTTCTTTCTTAGTTGCTAGGCTGCATCCTCTTCCATGCTTCCCTTTCTTTGTGGAACAGCCTGCTTGGCCTAGTTCACTACCACCCTTCTCATTTAGATCCCTACTGAAAATGTTCCCCTTTCCTACTACCCAAAAATGTCATACAAATCACTTTCACAATATATATAAAAGCTTTTCTTCTTTGAAAAAAAGGAAAGCCAAAATGTTTACATACCACTCTCTGGTCTGGCATGATCTTCTTCACATCTCCATTGAAAAAGCTAACCACAGTCATCCTTTTATCAGCGCTGATCTCTTTCTTGGTACCATTGCGAAAAGTAATGACTCTACGGCCATCAGTAAGTACCTCTTCAACCTTTAAGCGCACAAATAAAAACAAGCCATGCCAGAATTGCCTCCTAGATATACCAGTGCAGCCTCTGGGCAGTCAGTGAAATGGCACTTGTGTAACTCAAAGGAGAATTCACCCCCAATACTTAATTAACAGAGGGACTCCAAGCTACATCACAGTATTTCATAGCCTACTTCTGCTACACCAGTAAGTAATTTCTGCATAGTCTGTGTTCCAGGAAACAGCTAAAACATTCGACATCTATTTTATATAAATCCTATTTTTGTCTTGCAAGAGGCTGGCCAGGTAGTTTTTTGTATCAGCCAACTCAAGTTTAATAATGTAAGGGAGCACTGTGATTCTGTGAAAGACAGAGATTTCTTAGCTACACCGCTGTGATGAGCTAAGGCCTTGACAACCACACACTAGTTCCAGTTTGTATTCTGTATTTATATTGCATGCAAGTCAGAAGAAATGGAATCATCTAGGAGACCAGAATAAAGGGGGACCAAAACAATGGGGCTCAATGAGTTATCTTAGGGTGAGAACAAAAAATAGCCAGTCATATTTTCAGATAATGTAACCCCATCAGAAGTGCATCAGCTCTACATAAATTACCTTTGCTGCATGCAGAAAACTCCTAGAAAATCCCCCAAAAGCTCTTGATGAGAAGAAACATGTCAGCAGTGCATGTTTCTGCAGCTGATGTTTCAGACAAGATCTGCTGTCTAGCACAGCCTCTAGTTAACCCAAGTAGCCTTTGCTGGAGCTACTTCGGTATCTGCTTTTGCTTAGCTTACATTGATTTACATAACAGACCCCATTTAGTAAAGTCTCAGTGGAGAAGTCAGAATAACTTGTTCCTTAATATTACCCTATGGCTCCAATATCATCAGAGATTCCCTGATGGGGAAGGAAGTTCTCCCATAACAAAGAGGAGCAATAAATACATTTAGGGGAAGGGGGACCTAGGGTTTTATGAAAACAGGCAGAAAAATTATTTCTTAAGGTCACATTTCTCTTTAAATACATTTTTACTTAAACATTAGAGGTTAATAACTAAAAATTGTTCTTAAGAGCAATTTAAAACAAGAAATATTGCTACTAGCAAGCCCATGTGCTTTAGGTCAGGGATTGTTGTTTTTCTCCTGCTCTAATGCCATAAAATTCTCACTCCAACCCCGCAAAAAGGCCAGCCCATCTCATGATTTTATTAATTTAATACAGCAGTGAAAAAGCATGGGCCAATTCTTTTCAGTTATTTTCTTTCAAGCTGCTGAACTACTGCATTTGACATTTTTGTAAGAATGAGCTATGATAGGCAGAACTTTCCAAAAGTCCACTTAATATTAACTATAAAAAGTGGGTGGTTTCAGACCAGACTTCACTGATGGATGCCTATATCACAAAAACTACAACAACTGGCATGAATTGACAGCATCACTGGTAGTATTAGCAGAAAGGCTAAAGAAGGAACAGAAATAAAAAAATGAACCGTTGTCTCATGTTTTAAACTCCATTTACAAGAGAAAATTGTTCCAGAGCTGACAGCAATTGCAAAAAATCTCTCTCTCTCTCTAAATTAGTACTGAAGAAAGAGTTGAACAAGACAGGACTGCCTGGATACATAACAGAAGTGGTAGCTGAAATGAGTTCAGACATCAGATATGCTTCCTGTAAAGGTACTAGAACTAGTGCTGCCCCACAGACCTAAGTGATACAACTGTTTTTGATGCTGGTTTATTGGGACAGCCAGTCTCAGAATGAATGAGCTAGTTTCCAAGTACAAACTGAGATGGCCTCTGAAGATCACTATTTAGGTATAGTGAGAGAGTGCCACCACTGTCACTACTTCATCTGCGCCTAATCTGTGTGCAGTAGACGGCTTTCAGTCACCAGAGCTGTCATTTTTCTCTAGCACTAGAATCACTTCAAAAGAAAAATAAACAAAAAGAAATTGTCTTTAATCTTTGTTTTTCAAAGCTCAATCATTGCTTAAGTAGAAGATTTTCACCTAAACATGGTAGTTATCATTACTTCCAGTTTGCTAACAGGGCAACTAAAGCAGGGAAGACATCCCAAAGATTACACTGAAAACCAATGGCACAGCTGGGAAGAGAACCAAGCTGCCCAGATTCACAGTCCATTATAGTCTTACATCATTAAGGCTAGGGACAGAAGTTACATAAACCTGTTTAAGTGATCAGAAACTGGTTTAAACCTGTAACAGAACATAAGCTCAGTGCACATAAACCAGGTTCAAAATGGCTGAAACTGGTTTAAGATAAACCTGGTTGAATGCAGTCTCAGACTTAACTGATTTGGGTCAAACTGGTTTATGAAACTTCTGTTCCAGACCCATTCCTGGTTCAAGTTAAATCACAGTCCCCCAGCTTTCCAGCATGCTTTTCAGCCCTGGGATGGGCTATGCTGTCTGCTCCCAAGAGCAGGGCTGGCCCTGCCCCTCTGCTCCCTAGATAGAGCAGTGAGGGTTGGCTGATAAAGTGGGTGGGAGGGAACAAGCCCAGCTAGGGATGCAGCCTAGTCTGGTGGGGGGACTGCCCCCCCCCCAGCAAACCCTGGCTGAGGTCTGGGGCCAGGGAGGGGGCGTTAAACAGTCCTTCTCCTGCTCAAACTTACTGCTGGCTGTGACTGTGGACTACACATCCCAGAGGCACCTGGAAGCAGGAAGAAGAAGTGATGAGCAACCCTGCATAGTAGGGCTGTGCGAAGCTTCGGTCCCTGATTCGATTTGGCGGAGATTCAGCCCAATTCGGTGGCTGAATCTCCAAATCTGAATCGAATCAGAAAACCCTTTAATTTCTCCAAATCAATTTGGAACCCTCCAAATTGATTTGGAGAGATTCGGACAGATTTGACGATTTGGATGTAGATAAAGCTTTAAATGTTTTTTTCTACATACTTCTAGGTAGCAGGGGCTCTGAACGCTGCGGTGCTGGGGCAGATGCAGCATCCCTCAGAAGCACCAGGGGCTCCCCAGTGCGCTCAGCAGCAGACTCGGAAGTGGACCAGAAGCACTTCTGGGTCCACCGGGGAGCATGCTGGGGGTCCCCCCCTGACTTGGCGACTGGTGCCTCCTGGGTCCTTCTGCAGCCAATTGCCGGGCCTGGGGAGGAGACAGGGGGGTGGGGGCATGTGTTCCCTGGCGGGCCCGGAAGTGGACCAGAAGTAATTCCGGTCTACTTCCGGGTTCACTGTTGAGCACGTGGTGGGCCCCCTGCACTGCTGTGGGATGCTTCATCCGCCCCAGCACCACAGCGATCACAAGCCATGCCTGCTACCTCAAGGTATGTAGAAAAAACTTTTAAAGCTATATCTGTGTCCAAATCACTGATTCGCTGAATCAGCATTGAATCGTCAGATTTGGATTTGGCCGAATCAAATCAGGGACAGTGATCTGAATCAACGGATCAAATCACTGTCCCTGCTTTGGGCCAAATCCGAATCTAATAGGGCTCGTTTTGCACACCCCTGCTGCTGTGATTTTGGACTGCAAATCCCAGGGACCCCGGGGGCAGCAGGAAGGGGAAGCGAACATACAACCCATCCTGACTACGTGCCAGAGAGCCATGCGCTAGTGCCCCCTGGCTTCTGGCCTGAGCCACTGCAGGCATGTGGTTGCATTACCTGAATCAAAGATAAATGTCTGTTTACTTCTGTTTCAATTTAATCTCTGCAGTTTAGACTATCCTACAAAGACTGAATCAATTCAGCCTCAGGCTTTTTGACTGCTTGTACTTAGCCCAAGAAAAGACATGTCATGATGTTCACCTTTGTGGAGAAAGGAAACTTCATTTGCAAAATGTTCCCTTCAAGGTATATAATAGTAATTCAAACCCTATAGCAGAGGTTGCCTTTTCCATCTTGGTCACCTTTTCCATATGTCCACATGTCTAGGATCTCTCACCTTTCCATCTGGATATTCTATTTTTTCTCGCACCTCCTCATCATTCTTCTTTCTTTCTTCATATAGTGATGGCCTTCTTGATAACACTGACTTTGGCAGCAAACTCTACAGAAACAGTGTATGCCATAATATGAACATAGACTTTTGCTAATATTTTCAACAGCCTTAATCAATTTTGCAGAAAATATAACTCTCTATGTAACCATTATAAACACCAATCCATGTCGAAGGTCAATGTATGGGACATACTGTAAAAGACTGTTCTTTCAGAAAAAGAATCTGTGGTGAGAACAAATCCATTTTCTCTGTGGCAGCACTTATGCTTCTTTGGTTTCCTTCTCATTAAGTTCCCTTCTCATTTTTAAATCAGAATATTCACTCACATCATTTGCCTCAAAGAAAACAAAATGACACAGAGGCTGCCTTCAAAACTAGCGTGGCCATGTGGTATGTGGTGCCAAAGAGACATCTGCAGTACCACATACCACACGTTCAGTTGTTCTCTGTGCTGCAAGGGAGCAGCATGGAGGGAAGGGAGAGGATTCACTCCTGGATAATCAGGGGTCAAAAAAACTGATGCAAAAAAAAACGAGTGGCACACATGGGGACAGTGTGTGCTGCTCAAAACTGGAGCCTGGCTGGTGGAGCCATGCTACAGCTTCCAGCAAGGCTCCAAGTGGCAGGATCACCACTGCCGCAGCCCCAGGAGGCCCCCAAGACCCCAGGTAAGGCTGCTGGGGCCAGCCCAGTGCTGGCCCCAGCCTCCCCTACCCAACCTGGGGTAACTTGCCATGCACCACAGTGCATGTTGACAGGCATTTCCTGGGCACAACTACCAACTGCACAAGGTGAGCCACCACCACTAGTTGTCCCCAGGGAACCAAACGTCCATGCTCATCTGGATTTGGCCTGAGGGGACAATTTTAAGGGGAAGGAGAGAGCCAAACAATGCACTTTGAAAGTAAATTAATAAAAAGGGAGCACATCCAAATGAGCATGCACATGTGGTTTGCAGCACCTCAAAGCTGTTTCGCCTCACTGCAAATTTGTAGCATTGCACCAAAATTTGATACTAGAACCTCCTGGAATTAAAAAAAAAACTGCTGCAAAAAAAAGCGGCATGGTGCATGCTCCAGAAGCATCTGCCAGAGTAACTGGAGGCTGTGTCCTCCAGGAAGATGCTCTGGCTGCCAGCCAGGGCATTTCCACTGCTTTAGGTATCCCTTGGCTCCTCCAGTAGGCCAGGAGCTAGGAGCAGGGAAACAGTAGTTTCCCCAAAGTGGGACATTTTGCCCTGGAGCAAACTCCACATGCAGGGATGTGCACAGTGGCAAAAAGCAGGAACATAAATTTGTGCTCCTGGTATTTGTGCCATGGCAAATGCATGCCCCTGCATGTGAGGACACACCTGTGGAGAGGGTAAATGTGCAAAAAGCAAGGGTTTTCCTGGGTGATATCTTTTATTGTTCCAACCATTCAATTGGTCCAAAGTTAGGCAAGCTTTCAATATACTGCATTCTTAAATAAAAAGCCCCTGCCATGGGAGCCAAGTACACAAGGGTGCCTCATGTGCTTGTGGTACCCAAGTGTGAGGTCCAGTTCTCATTTACACTACTCTGGCAACAGTACAAACATCAAGGGTGTAAAGGGTTCTCAATGTAAATGAGACTTAAGTTCATAGTGCCACAAATCAGTTTCAGCTGATATCACCTACAGTCAGGGAGCATGCCATTTATTTTGAAGGTAGGAATACAATGGAACACAATGTATTTCTCCTTTCCAGTTAGGGATGCATTCAGGTGCCCAACAGGAGGGCAAAGGCCCAACTCCACAGAGTTTATGGGGAAAAGTACACCAACTCTTGATACTGCCAGCCACATCCCAAAGCTGTCTATCCTCTGCACTGTTCTTTAGCAAGGCCTAATCCCTCACCACTAATATAACGCCCTCCCTCAGCTTCAGCATTACTTCCTTGACATGTTTCCCAGTGGCTTCCCTTCTCAAATGCAACTGCCTCCTATTCTTATTTCTCTCCCCTGTCCAGATCTATCTACAACCCAAATCAGTTTGGCGCTTTTTTTGTCTGCTGCCTGCCTATCTATTTCAAGACATCTCAAAAGCCTCTGAGTGCTGCCTTTGCAGCAAAGCCTTGGGAAGTACATTAGCAATGTCAGGCAACAGATGGAAAACACACACTGCACAGCTGTGAAGTGGCAGCTAAATTGTAGGGGGGAGAATAAAATATTTACTTTTGCTTCTTTAAGCTTTGCATGGGAGCTGTGAGCAGATAAGTCTTGTAGATAGGAAAGAAAGTTTTTTCTATCTCACAATATTGTACACATTTTCATCAGGCAATAAGAAAGCCTGAACTTTTAGGAGACTCTCAGCTAATATTAACCTGTGAAAGAAATGTTCTGTTTTAGAGTGGCTAGGAAAGAAGGTTGAAATGGGGACTTTCTTTTTTGCTCATGCAAAAATGGTGTCCAAGTGCAGGGGGACTGAACCCAATGATCTTGTGAGGTGCCTTCCAGCCTCTAACATCTACGAATCAATGAATGAATCTATGAATTTCATTTTGCATGGATTGATGAAACACATTAGTGCAGCACACAGCGGCATGGCTGGAGCTGGTACTGTCAGAAATCAGCACAAAAGGCAGTACCTAAAATAAGTTCAAACCTTTGCTTCAGCATCCAGAAAGTTTTGAGAACCTCCTGTAGGTGTTGTGCTGGTACTTGAAGTTATGCTATTTTTTCTGGAGGCAGTCAAGGACGTAGTTTTAGTCAAAGGTTTGAGGGATTTTTGAGCCTTTTTAAAGCTAAGATTCTCTTTCTCCTGTGCCCCAAAAAATATAGATTAGTTAGCCTGTAAACATGCTTATGCCAAACTGTTACATGAGACTACTTTGATAAAGAAACCTACAATGACATTTGTAAAATAAGACAATATTTTTAAAAATAGAGCCCACTGCCAAACAATGGGTGGGAAAGGAAAGCAGATAGATTATTGGTACCACTGAAATCAGTGCTATTTTGCCATTCACCAAACTGGAACTAGGACTTAGCATGCTGTCTGTGGAAGCTAAAGTCTTAAACCTTAGTGGATCATTACACTGTTGCACACACAAACATACCTGTGCTTCCTCATTGTTACTGCAGGAAGCTGAGCTACATACGTTGTCATTCTGGCTGTGCAAGAGGGGCATGTCCTCCGAACTACCCGAGGTAGATGAATACCTGTCTACCAGGTGAAAAAAACAAATCCATGAGGGCATATGAAAATGCTGAAGTATAAGGTTGTTCCATGCCTTTTTCAAAGTCCATGAAAGAAAATGCTGACTCCCACATTCAACCCATTATTACTGCAGAGGCAAAGTCATTCTTATTTACAGCAACATGAAGTGTTGCCTCTTCCTAGAGCAAAAGAAGGATGCAATGGACTCATTTGTAGATTACAGCTGGTAGCAATAACGCTTTCCAAAAAATGTTACCTTTTACATAAGACGATGAGTTAATGTCCTCAAACACATTTGGGTGGGAGACTGGCACAAGTGACTTCCATCCATAAGCTCTTGGTTCAGTATAAGAGGGTCGATGTGTGACCTGAATCAAAATGGAGAGGGTTCACCATATGGAATCATTCATACCATTGCTGTAACTTGGGAATTCTCAGTGTACAAATGGTCAGAGATGATGTCCTCTGAAGCTGAAACTGTAATTTCTCTTGGATTTGAGTCACAGCTGACAGCATCTTTTTAGGGACCCTTTCAGGCCTAACTTGAAGAACCACCTCTACGCCTAAAGGTTCTTGACCTGACACAAAACTACACTGAACCTCCTTGCTGTGTGTACGGAAGGCACGCTCCATGAAAAACTATTCCAAAACAATTTGCTAATGGAAATATATAATGTATACACTAATAGGACAGACTTGATGATCCAAGAGATTCCTTATAGGCCTATGTTCTTTTTAGTTATTCCAGAGCAATGCCACGTGTGGATACTTTTATTCTAAAGTAAAAATGCCTTGTTCCTAGTAAGCTCACCCAAGAGCGGGTTAAGGTAACCAGGAACAAGGCATATGGGTTCTAGAATCAGAGTGCACAAGTACTTACAATGCAAATGAACAAGGCATACTTATCGCACTGTAAGAGTATCTATGCATGCAGTTAATCAGGAATATTACTTCCTGAATAAATCCATGCCTAGGGAAAGCTTAAGATATGTGTTGGTGAAAGGACTGAAGAAAAGGATGGACGATGAAGGAAGAGTGAGCAATAAACACATAATTTCCCTTCTGGTTCTGCAGAAATTAACCAGAAAATATATAACAGGAGCAATTTCTTCCATCACTCCAACATATCAAGGTAAAAATGTTGATTGTAAGGCAACATAAAGAGGAACCTGTACATAATGGCTGGGGATCTGAGTTTTCTGTTTGCCATGGTAAAATGCAGTAAAAGACAAATTGTCTCATTTTAAGAGGAAAAACTTCCTTCTTCTTCCTTCCTGGCACATGGCTGCCAGGCATCCTGGGGAGCAGCTCCCCGCAAGTAAGTCTGGTGGGGGAGGGGTAGAATTGAGGCCCCCATAGTAAGGGAGGGAGTTGGGCAGGGTTGGGGCTGGGGATGGACCTGGGGCTGCTGCGCAGCCCAGGCAGTGTGGGGGGCTTGGGGCTCATTGCTGGAATGTGCGACCATAAGGCCCAGGCAGTAAGCAGAACAGAGCCATAGGCAGCTCATTTGGGGGGTGGTGCTGGCTCCCCACTGCTGCGCACCCTGCCAGGAGGGATATGGGGGGCACATGCCTCCCAGATCTGTATGTGGAGCAGGGGTGGGGTGGGCTCCCTGCTGTGAGCTCAGGGCTCCCTGCCCATCTACCTCCTCCTGGGGCCTCCATGGCCCATCAGACAGGACCTGGCATTGCAGGGCAGAATGGGGAGGGGCAGGGAAGCTCAATGCTACCACTGCTGGGAGCCCTGCTCTGCCATGGCGAAGTATTCTCTGCCTGCCCAGCAGCAGCAGGGATGGCAGCATGGATGGAACCTCACCATGGTGACACAGGGCTCTCAGTGGTGGTGCTGGACCCTGCTCTGCCCTACCACACCAGGTCCCACCTGCTGGGATGCAGAGGCCCTGAGAGAAGGGCAGCAGGGCAGGGAGCCCAAGCCTGCAGTGGGCAGCCCACACTTGCCTCTGCCCCACTCACAAGTCTGGGAGGTATGTGCCCCCAAGCCCCACCCTGGGAGTGCGCACAGTGGTGGGGAGCTGGTCCACCCCCACCTGAGCCCAAAACAGGCAGCCTACACCCCCCCACTACAGACTCCACTTTGGCCGTGCTGCCCGTGGGAAAAGGGGGAGTCAGGCTCTGTGCTCTGCTCTGCCACAGCAGCTGCCACCTCCCATGAACAGCCGCTGGGACTCGAGCACTGATGTGGGGGGCAGGGAGCTGTGAACCCGAGTGCCTGGCCCTGTAGCTTTGGCAGCTAGCGGGAGGCGTGGGACTGTGGTTGGGGAGTGAAGGGCACCACCAAGGCTGGGGGGGGGGCTGTGAGTCAGGAGTGAGGGATAATGGAAAGGGCAGGGGACCAGCATATCAGGGCGGCTCATCACCACAAAGCAGGGGAGAAGGGGCAGCTAGACCTGCATCTTGGTGAGCAAAAACCCAAAATTAAATGCCAAAATTTAAAATTTACTTTATTACAGTGATTGAGGGACTGGTAGGCTTCCAAATTGCTTTAAAATAGTAAATATATTGATAAAACATTGTGTTCAACTGATACCTATATATATAGTGGCGTTTCATTTTAATCACAAATTTGAGGGGTTTTAATCATAGAACTTGCAATTTTTATCAGAGAATTTGGGATTTTTAAACAGAGAAAACCAGGATCTCTGCTAATGGCTAAGCTGAGAGGCAGCTGTGGAAAGTCAACATTTGGTAGCTCATTACAAAACCAGAGCTAACTGCTTTTCTAATGCTCTTTCTCCCATTCCTTATGTATGTTGTGTGTCTTTCTGGTTTGTAAGCTCCACAGGCACAGCTCTCTTCTACAGCATATGTCATAAAGGGACTATGATCCCAACCAAGGTCTCTGAATATTGCACTGTAACTATAAATAATGAAAATCAGTACTGATTTGTTACCTTATCAGGCTCAAATGGTGTTAATCTTCCTGCATGGGGTGTTCTCCTACCAGTGGGTGTTGCACTTCTGCTATGGAGGCGATCAGATGATATCTTCTCTCTCTGTTCCCTTGTTACTGATTTTAAAGACTCAGTCTTTTCCAGTGCACTTTTCGCTGCCTAGAAGGTATTGAATATTGTTGCATTAAATGGAAAATGTAATGTTTAAAAAATGTCACTGCAATCCTTATGTAATGTGAGTATAAATAATGTACTTGTTTCAGAAATTCAGAAGACAACACTTTACTATTTCGGTATTTATGCTGCTTGTTTGCTTTTCACTTTTCTCTCTCTCTGACTGGATAACAGAATGAGACAATATTAACCTCAGGGTTACCATTCCATTAATTGGACAGTTTCCCCCGAGCCACAACTGTCAGACCAATTCAAAGTAACGCATGGGCTCAAAAATCCCTTCACTAGATACTACCTCAATGTTGCAAGCACTGGGATGCGTGTCATTAGTGCTTGTTTCTATTTTCTGGGGTAGGGCAGTGCCCCTAACCCCTTCCACATTCTGTCTCTCTATGGATCTATCAGCTGAGATTGATTCAGGCCTTGCAGCCCTCAACAGAAGTGTACTGGGGGCTATGGGATATGGGACCTCCAGCCAAACAGATCAGATAACTAGCTGCTCAGTACTACAATCCTGGAAGCCTTCAAGGTGAGAAAGAGGCCGACTTGCTTGAAGGCTGTAAGATATTTTCTGACATCAGAGAAACACTGAAAAAAATATATATCCCCGCACCGCCATCATAAGGCCTTTACCATTAACAGAGCAATCAAGCAAGAGAGACACTAATATGCCTAAAGCTCAAAATCTCCAAGTTGTCTCAGAACTAGTGGGATATGACTGCTACCTTTCGCCCAAATGGAGCCTGGAGCGCACTGTTTATGAACACGCTGAGCTACCAAGTGATCTAAAGAAGAGCAGCGAAGCTCAAGAATGCAAGACATTACAAAAAACGTAGATGGGTATTGGAAGTCAAAGCAGATTGAACAGGGATAGAACAAACTAAGACTGAATAAACGAGCATAAGCAGCGGTGAATACAGTCATGAACATGCTGGTGATTTCAGAATGCCTCCTTATGAATACACAAATGGTTTCATAATCAATTCACTTGCAGAAAGAAACCTGATAAGGGGCTCTCAAAAAGTTTGTCATGATTTCTCACAAGCCTGATGTTAGGCTTGAACTCTATCCAGAATTTTCTTAAAAGGAATTTAAAAACAAGTTAGAAAATTGCTTTTTACCTAGGCTTGCCTCAATTTGATCTCTGTGTAAATTAAGGTCTTCTTTCTTATGGTGATCACTAATGCACTGCTTTTGCTTTTAAAAGCTTTTGCTTTTCCATGTCAGCATGTCAGGCATCAAATGTGGACGCATCATGCTTCTGCATCATGCATCATGCTTCTGCCAGAGGTTAAATCTGGCATGCTGAGACAACACATTATCTGAGTTTTAAAGAAAATTCCAGATTTTGTAAGGTCTGACCAACCTGTGCCCCCTCTTCATAACTACTTGTGATTCCACCCTATAGCAGATGCCTGCAATGGCTCTCATTTCATCAAGCCTGGATGTGCAATGCTGCTGCTGTTTAGATGCTGCACAGCAGACACAAAGGGACCAGTGATTCTGGTATCTACCTTAACAGTGAACAGGGGCCAAAATAATCCTTGTAGAAGGTATAGTTTAACTTTGGCAGTTACAAAGTACTTCAAAAAGAAGACAAAGTTGTCTCCAATTATTTCAGTGGATCCTAATGAGTATTCATCACCCTTGTTTGCCTATAGGTACCAACTGGTAAAATTAGTAGTGCTTATTGGCTATAGGCTTCTAATAGAGACAGACAGCATTAGTCCAAGACCCTAAAAACAAAATCCCTGGGGTCCAAGGATGGAGGAAACTGTTCTTTACCTAAGAAAGGTCCCTGTCTGTTCCTCCTATAGTCTTCCATATGTGCTCTGGCAATATTCTGACTACAATCCCCTGTCCCTTGAGCAAGTCAGATCTTCAATTTAACACTCTCCCCTCCAACTTCAGCAATGAATGCTGAAAATAGTCTCCAAGCCCTTCAAAATGCAATGCCCAAGGAATCTTTGCCAGTTTCATGGGTAAGAAATTTAAAGCATTGATAAAATTAAAGTTCAAGGCATTCACCTTCACACTCATTAGCTTGCCTCTGTGAGCTATGAATTTTACTTCCAGCTTTCCCACCAAATGTATGCCCACAAGCTGCTTAGCCATGAAGGTCCTGACAAAGTTCACAGGATATTCTATACCTTTAAGTTCCCACCAGGTCTCCCTGCTATCTAGACTGATATCTTGCACACATTTGCATGGTATACACACAACATACACACACACACACACACACACATATATATATATATTTGGAATGTATAATGTATCAGGCATCCTGAGATACACTAGCCCCCAACTTAAAAATGATCACAACCATCATTGCTTAAACCTACTAAAACCTTCTTATTACAATATGTAAATCAACTGCACAGAAAGGGATCTTATAACTATGAACTATTACTCTGACAGGGAGATGCTGTGCCTAATGGCCCATTATCTCTGTATTACTCTGTAGCAAGTTACTGACTTGACTTAGGAAATCTGTATTCAGGACACTCCTTTATTTTCTTACTATGAACAAAGGTTTAGTAAATCTGCCTCCATCCAAACACAGCTGTTTAAACCCATGCAGATCTGGGCATCCATACTATCACACATTTGTTGTGCATGGCGCACAGTGCCCCCAACACCTGCCCAAGTTAACAAAGCAAAATGCCTCATAATGCAACATAGTCCTAAACTCACTCTGTCTGTTCTTTGCTAGCTCCATAGTAACCTTGAGGGATTTTATGCATTCATTTTTTTCAGGATTATTGGATTCTCCTTCTACAAGTCTGTCAATACACTCATTTTGCGATTGCTAATATATATTGTTGCCTGCTGCCACCCAGCTGGTGCTAGGGTCATCACTGGCAAGAGTGTGCATAAACACTACAGCTTGGTACACTGGTACTTGTAACAGTTACATCCACTAGGGGGGGGTGCTCAGTCACTCTCAGCCTCACCTGCTAAGCCTTGGCACATTTTAGATACTGCTTATTTTGAGCATCACCCTTTGATCCTTTTATTTAAAACTACAGATGAGCTGATGAAAAGTGTTCACATTTTGTTAAAGTATTACATGCTGGAGACTTCCTTTTGCCCCCCAGAGTAGTAGCCTCTAAGACAACAGCACCTACCCGCTCCCTTTTTAAAGTGTCTTATTGAGTTAGGTTTAAAAAGTTCAGGCAACCAAACCAGAGTAATTCAATTGGACTATTGATTAAGACTATAATGAAATATTTATACAATGTAGGAAGAGGTCTGTTGAGGTACATTACCACCACTCCACATGTGATAACTCCCAAACAAGAAGTAATTCAGCTGAGCACATATTTTCATTCAATCCTTTTTATCGCTAAATTTGTTTTCAGAATAAAATCCTAAATTATTAGTTCATTTACATGTTTACATTGATAGAAAAGTGTATTAAAAATAACATAACAGAAAGCATACAAATTATTCTTACTGGTAGCTAACTGGCAAACTTAAAAGAAAAAATATAGAAGTGAAAGATACACAGAGCTCATTTGGTTCAGTATACAGGAAAAGGACCTTTCCTTAACAGTGCTTAAAATACAAAGATTAGGCTACTGACATGATCCAAATTCCCATTATACTTTGCCAGTTAACTGCTTAACTTGGCACTATAAAAACTTTACCCTACAGGCATATGCGCTGAAATACACATATACAAAGTAATACATGCCAATATTCTTTATATCTTCGAGAAGCTTTAACAAATGAGTAGCCATCTCTTGAGAGAGAAAATATTTTGCCAATATTTTCATATAGTTCATGAGAAGACCTTACTAAACCGTGGGAATTTGCAGTCCATGGATTTTTTTTTATTCACAGTTCCTAAAGCATTTGCTTTGGAACTGTGATTTTCTTTATTCCTTCTCTCAACTTTATCATGGGTTTCTGGAGAACCAAAGTGGTGTTTACATAGACTTTTTTGGCCAGGGTTTTCCTTTTTTTTTAATTCTGTCATCAGAGAAAGTGTTAAGTGTTCCTGATTCTCAAGACATTGTTACACTTCCTATTTTGAGCAGCTCCTGGAGCTCTTAACCCCTGGATTGTCTGCACATTAACACATTAAAGTGGCTCAAAGCACTTATTATGTGGCTCAAAGTTACACCACACCAGGGCAGGATTATCTCTGATCCATGCAACCCAGCTCCTGTTCCATTAAGGTGTGGCCACTCCTCATAGATGGGCCACTCAGGTTGAAGGTGTGACTTCTCCACACTTCAAGCTAGCAGCAAGTCAATCAACACTTGTTTGGCTCACAGTGTAAGGTGTAACAAGGCCCTCAGGCCAAATGTCCATGTTGTTTTGGGGTGTTGGTATTAAAGATTTTGGGATGAGCCTCCTGGCCTTTGGAAGCTCCAACACTGCTGAATCTGGATATTTATCTATGATATCAGCAGACTTACTTAGATCAAACATAATTAAAAAAAAAAACCTCATAAGAAAACTAACTCCACACCCCTCTCAATTTCTCTCTCCTTCTCTCTCTCTCTCACACCCCCCCCCGCATTTTTACAAAAAGGAGTCTGCTTTTAAATAAAATATACAAAAAAATCAAGCAATCATATCTTTTCCATTGTTCAACTATATGCTTGTGTTGATAAATTTTCTTTTTCTAACAATTCTTTCCTTCTTCTCTTTCCTTTCCCATGTATTGACACTCAAGCTGAAGGTCTTCTCTTGCATCAGCAGAACTGTGAATGACATTAGTACAACACACAGATAAAACATCCATGTAATTCATATCCTTGGCAATTATTATGGTTATTGTTGAGTGCTTTTAAAGCATGCAGACAACAACTGAACATTTTTTCCCCACAAAGACAAAATGGTTTACTTTTATGTTTAAAATAAAATAGTATACTAGAACTTCATATATTAGAGAAAAACAAGGAAACTAATAGCAATACAAAACATCAACCCTTGGAAAAGCTAAACACATAGTCACATACTTTTGACAG